CCCGCCACAACACCCAGCTACTCTTTTTGGTTGCAGTTTGGCCAGGGCCAAGTTTGAACCTGCTACCCTCGGTATATGAGGCTGGCACCCTACTTACTGAGCCACAGGCACTGCCCATTCATCACATTTTTATGGACCCCAAATTATCTGTTTTGTTAGAGTGACTGTCATATTGTATACACCAAAACTTGTACAGCTGAATGCCTGCTATCCTATAAGGAGTAAGGAGTAAGTGAGCCTAAGATTTTAGGTTGCTGTCCATGTTAGTGTGATCCACTGTGCCCTCTGGATGGTCAGTTGATTGTCTTGATTAGCTATGTCATTGGCGTCCTCCTTGGACCCTGACACATGGAAATCATATGCTAATATCTAAAATGGATGGGCCTGTACAAGTCAGAATATGGTAATGACCAATCTAATTGAGGATGGAAAGGTCATGGGAGCAGAGAGGACAGATACTAGAGTCTGGAGACTGCATGGCTGGACATGTTTCTCCACCACCAATCTCAGCAGCTATAGTTCATTTTCCACTGTACAGCTGTTCTGAATAGTTCAGTCTTTTTCTATGTTAGGTTCATCAGCATCTCCTTGTACATATCTCTCCAGCGCTCTCTCTGTTCTGGTGTCTCTGGGGCTTTCAGTATTTCAGAGCATGGATCTGTCTGTAGGTACAGCTCTTTCTCTCTGTGTTACAGCTCACTGATTTTCCAAATGCTATTCCCTATGGCTGTTTCTCTCCTTAGTTCTCAGTCCCTGTGTTTCTCATCAGGGTGGAGAATGTGGACTCTGACCCTGGATCATGCCTTCACAGCGGGGAGTCTGCCAAACCCACAAACAGGTGTGAGCTCTTGAATTTCCCCAGGCTGAGACATTAGTACTTAGGACTATCCGACTAGGACAACCCCCGCCTGGGGCAGGACCTCTCTGCGGCTGTTATAAAGGTCAAGCCTTTGGTCATTAGGGTCTGGTCTGTGTCTTCAAACACTTGGGAGCCATGCTACTAAAACATGTGTCTCTGCTAATCCCAGGGTTGCAGAGGAGGGATCTATTCACTGGTCAGGTGGAAGGAGAAAACACTCCTTCTCCTCAGATACGGTTGAAGAGCCAAGTCCGATCAAAACACTTCCAGGGCTTTGAGGCTGACCTGTAGTTCTGGCCCATTTCACTATCTGTATTAGTTTCCCAGGGCTGCCATAACAAATTACTGGGGGCTTAAAATAGCAGAGATTTACTCTCTTACTGTTCTGGAGGCCAAAAGTCTGGAATCAAGGCTTTGGCAGAGGTTCTTCCCTCTGAACATTCTAGGGAAGGATCCTTCCTTTTCCCTTCTACCAATATTGGCTCCAGCCATTCCTTGGCTCATGGCTGTGTAACTCCAATGTTTGCCTCCAGCCTCACATAACCTCCTCGTCTTGTCCACTGGGTGCCTCTTACAGAGGTATTTATCGTCAGATTTAGGGCACACCAAGATAATCCAGGATGATCTCATCTTAAGATTCTTAACATAATTATATCTGCAACCATCTTTTTCCAAATAATGTCACAGTTACAGGTCAGGGGGTCAGGACATGGACATGTCTTTATGGGGGCCACCATTTAGAACTGTAGTTGAACTGAAGTGGATGCACAGGATAAGAAAGGATGAGTCTGTGTTGGAGAACCTCATGCTTTCAGTCCTCATCCCTCTCCATATTATTTGTAGGCAGTTTCTTTTTTTCTTTGGTTTTTTTTG